ATGCAGCAGCAGGGATGGGCTTCCAGTCGTCCCATTTCCCTGTGACATCTTGTTGCTGCTGGCAGGCCTTCGGGCTGTCAATGCAGGAATAGCTGGATTCTGACCTTGCAAAAGGAATGATAAAATATGCAGGCAAGGCGAGTGTCGAGAGCTTCCTGAAAATCACTGTGGTGCACTGTATAACATGTCGGTCAGTAAATTCAAATGCAGCCTTTTTTTGGCTGGTGAAAACACAGCCTTTTCTGATCTTTCTATTCTCACAGCTAGTCAAAGCAAGAGATTCTTCTGATCATACTGCTTTTATTCATTTTTTTTTTATTCAGTATGTGTGACCTTTGTTTCCTCTGTCCTCCATCAGCTTTCTTCTGCCCTGTCCGTGTAACAGTTTTCTGCAGTCTAAAGGGGTGCTTTTTTTTGGGGGGGGGGGGGGGGGGTTTACTTTTTTTTTTTTTTTAATTTTTTTTTTTTTTTTGTTTTTTGTGGGGAGTTGGGGTGTGGGGTTTGAATGTTGGACGAAAGTAAGTGGCTGTATACACTACATAAACGTTCATCTTACCAGATGAATTTATTCTGAATTCAGGAGATGCTGGAGAGTGAAGCCAGGAGCTAACGTGGCAGCACGTGTAGCTCGTCCTCTCCTGACCCTCTCTCCCCTGGCCCCAAACACGCCTGGCAAATGGAGGCTTGGCGCTCTGCCACAGCTGATTACGCAAGGCGTTCTGTGTCCCCCTTCTCTGAACAAAGGCTGCTCTGAGGAACGTAGGCATCACACCTAGGTCACATAGGCAGAAAAAGCCATCTCCTGACAGAATTTTACTGAGTCATGATGGAGCTTTCCTTCATGGTAAGTCTGTGAGAATTGTCAGGTTTCAAATGATGGCTTGCCTTGCTTGCTGAACAAATGCAGAACTGAGAGCTATTAAACTTGCTAATGCCATCCTCGAGAGGAGGAGGGAGTAGAACCACTATTTTGAGGTCTCAGGCTTGGATGTAAACAGAGACAGAACTGAAAAATCTCACAGTAAGAAGAAAATGGTTCTTTTTGCACTGGTCATTTATTGATTAAAGAAACAACAAAACTCTGGGTATCTGTCTCGTAAATTGTGGAGGTCTAATTTGTTAAGAGAATTGGTTTTAATTCGAGTAGTGGTAACCTAATAAGTTACATAAGTCGGTGTCAGGTTACTATTATTTTACTACCAGACCTAATACTTTCGTCTGTTCTGTTTATATGCAACCCACTGTCGTTCTGATCCTGGGAAAGTGTGCCTTCAAAATTGTATCCACAGTCAGAGGCAGGTCAAGGGCTCCAGAGGAGACAAAATAGGCTGTAGATAATTGTGCAATTACAAATGGCTACAAATCAAGGTATATTATGACTTGAGCTGCAGCTCTTGAAGAGAGCCTGTTACTTTTTAACATTCAGAACACTGCCTTCTAGGTAAATCCTCTTACTCAGGATTTGAATTTCTATAGACTGCTGTCTGCCTTGAGGTATTGTATGTCTTCTCTGAACTGCAGCGGCCTCTCCTGCATAATAACTATTTCACACAGCAGTAGCCAGCCTCAGTACCGCAATATTTGAGAGAGGTGCAGATGTTTGCTAGCCGCTTCTGTTTGTTGCAGAAATGGAAGTTGGAAATTCTTACTATTTTTTAAATTTTTTTTTTATGCTGGTAATTGTGATTAGTGGATCTGCATTTGGCTGACAAGGTTTATGTGTTAGAATGCATGCATGCTTTTTTTTTTTTTGTCTGATTTTGAATCCTTAACGGGCGCTATGTATTATTTATCTGGCAAGAGGTGTAGGTTTGCTGGTGTATGTGCATTTCAAAGGTTCTTGGTTTGAAAGGTTCTGGGTTTTCTGTGTATTGCTTTGCGATAATCGTTCAGTGCAAATGGTTTCTTTTGCTGTACTTACAGGCTTTGGTTTATCAATTTCTTTACTGTTTGTAGCTTAGTGAACAGTGCAAGCAGAAATTTACTACACTTAGAAAATTTTCATAATGTGAATTTTGAAATTTTAAAGTCAGCTAATGTAGCAGTAAGAATGTAAATTTTTTTAGGAGGCATTGCCAAGAAATATTCCTGCTTTTTTTACTGTACAGTACTGATATTACTGGCGTATTTAAATATTAAAATGGTTAGATTTTCTTGTGTGCTTGCTTGCTTTCTCTCAGTGAACTGTCTTACTGCAGTAACCCTTCTGTAAAGCTACTACAGAGCAGTCGTCGATTGTTTCTCTTTAGATCTGCTTATTTTTTATAATAGCATTGGTAGGTAGGAGCAAATCTATTCTTTTCAGCTTTATCTTTTCAAATTAATTGTTAGTGACAGTGCAAGATGACACATCTGTGCAAAAAGGATTTTGTACCATTAAGATCAGTATGGTCAATATGCAGGCCAAAGGATATGGGTCTGTTCCTTTTTTTCCTTTTGTCAGGCAAAACGCGATATAAAGTATGGTATTTTATTTTTATTTAGTCTTCTATTTTAAGTTGCCTGCTTAGTAGAATCACTATGGTAACCCAGCTAAAGGATGTCTCCGAGGCACACAACCTGCACTGCAATGTAAGTGAAGGGAGATTTTAAGTAGACTGCTGCTGAATAGTAGAAAAAAGGAACAGGCATGGCAGAGATATAAGCTACGATTTAATATTTATAAGCTGTTAGTTAATGCTTGCTCTAAGGATAAATAGTTATTTTACCAGTAATATATTGTCGAGTTTTTCTGTGCTCTCTTTCTGGAAATGATACAGCTGAAACTTTAATTAAAAATCAGAAATTTGTTTTATTCAACTTGAGTTTGTTTCATTTTTCAAAAGCTGTTACATATTAAAAATGATGTTAGTCAAAGTCAGTGAGGAGGTAAGCTGCATTACTCTGTGACTTACAGAGCTCATGAGAACATCAGCATTCTTTTTTTGTGATCTGCTATGGACAATACATTAATTTTATAATTTTCCTGTTTAAAAATACTTGTTTAGAGATTTGGTGGTCTGTTAAATTCTTGTAAAACTTTGAGATGTGCATTATATAGACATGCTGGACACAAGGTATTCCTAGGATCATGAGGAAAGTTACGTAGTATCTGGTAGCTCTGAGTATGAAAACACTGAAAGTCATTTGCATACACATTAATAAGGACTTTTTTTTTTTCCCAATCAGCTACACTAATAAGCTTCTGATGCCACCTAGTTTGGCATCGTGAACAGCCAGAGCTAAATTATCATTTTTGTGCTAACAAAATAAAACATACCAAGACATCAGTAATGTTTTGTGTATTAGAAGCCACCTGAAATCATATTTTGTAGGTAACTGCATTTATTAACAACAGTATTTTACATGTTATCTCATAGGTTCCGATGTTCCTGGGCCTTATTCTCTATGGAATTAATATGATAATGCAAATTCTACACTGTGTATGTAGGAAATTTCTATGATGTTTATGGAGAAGTTCAGAGGCACTTGAGTTGACATGCTTGTTCCATTCATTTTAACACACTTGGTTGCATTTCAAAATATTTATAGCGATTGCTGAATTAGCAAGCTCTTGTGAAACAATTGGTCGCATCCAGACTTTCTTGCAGACAGACCTGATTGCTCTGCTTGCGTGACCTTTGTAGGAGAGTGAAATACTTGGCTCAGAACTTCAGAATGCAAAGATGTCTTAAAAGATTTTTTTTTTTATCTCTTGAGGAAAAGTAATTAAAAATAAACAAGCTCTAATATTTAGATGAAATTGTAATACCTGGAGCAGAGTATATACAACTTACTAATTCCTTAGAAACTTGTGTTTTAATGTAAAGGTATTAATTTTAAGTGATTTTTGACAGGAGATTTTGTTCTTAAAGATTTCACTCAATATGAAGGGAAAGTATTCTTTTTTTTCTAGACAGACAAATTGAGAACTTTGATGTTTATCTCCATGAGACTATGAGCTAGTATGACTACATTCCCTGATGTTTGTTCTGAGAAAAACTTGGTCTTCCAATTCTGATCATTCATTTGATGCAGTCATCCTTCAGATGCTAGCCCGATTGTTTTGTGAAGATATCTGTTGCCATTTTACATTACTAGAAGTATTGCTGCATTTGCAATTAAAAAAAAAACCAAAACATTACCTTCCTCTAATAAACAGTTGCACAGAAATGGAGACACATGGTAAAATGCAATATTGATTTTCAAGTACGAAATTGATTTATTCTTAGTAATTTGCGGAAGTGTTGGTATTACTTTGTTTGAAAAACAAATCATTCTCTTTTTTTCAGCATTTTCAGTTAGCTTTGATTGACTGCAATCCCTGCACTTTGTCTAATGCTGAAAGTAAGTAACCTATAAGTATTTCCTTTTTATTTTGTTGTAGATTGTGTTATGCTCACAACTGTAACAATTTTTAATGAACCAGTCCTTCAAAGTCTAAAGGATCAGTACTGAGGGAGACTACAAAACCTGTCTCCAAGTAGAATTGTGGTTTTGTTTTAATAAGTGGAATAAGTAAAAATTGAGACTTAGCTTATTAATTACTCCAAAGAGTTGAGTTCTGGAAGAAACATACTATCTGACTGTTTATTTACTTATAAGTGTAGTGCTTGTGTCCTGGTACATATTTAATAGTAATTATTTAAAACTTTGTGGCGTCTCGGTAATCTGTCATTTTTCAGTGCTCATTTTAATGCCATTTAAATTTATAGAACTAAAATTCAGCATCAGTCTTTGTGCGGTTGAAGCAAGAAAAAATGTACAATGTAATTTATTTGTTTTATTAGGTGCCCAGTATTTATTAGTCAGTATTTGAACCATGTTAATCTTTTAGTGTAGTATGATCTAGTATATGCTATATATACTGTAGCATATGTATATGTACTCCAGATATATATGTATGTACTTCTGTATATGTAGCACATATGTGTACTCCAGAGCATCCTGGAGGTATTTATCCATAGTTAATGGAATTGTATGCGAGAATAAGTTTTATGTCCGTGCATGTTTTGGAATCTATAAGAATACAAAGGCAGACAACTGTGAAAGAAACTCCTCCCTTGGATTTTAAAGTACCTTCATGCTGCTCTTGGTGTTGAGCTTGGGTTACCTCGTAAGTCTGACTTCAGAAACATTTGATAATGTATTTATAAGCAATTGTTTAATTCGGAGCTGGATGGAATTGTGAATATTCTGTCAGCAAGGGTGATGAAAGGGGGTTTGTTTCCACGGGTGAAACTGCTGGCTGTACTGGTACCCCAAGGAGCCAGCTGTGCTACAGTCTTCTCTAAAGCTTTGTCGCTTAATCAGGAGCAGGCACAGATAATGTAAAATTATTTGCAGAATTCTTCCGAAGTGAATAGGCTTTTATTGTTTCTACCAGATATGCGATTCTTTATATATTTCATGTTAGCTCATATTAGTTCTCGCTGACTTTATCGGTTTTCACTGTATCTCTGAATATTTGTAAGGTTTTCCTAACCCTTCCCCATAGCCCCATCTGCCCCCAGATTAATGTAGAGGTATGGCCCCATGTAAAGGCTTTATTGCCCCATGATCTTGGGCATGCTGCCTGAGAAACCCAAAAGAGGAGTGTGAAGAGGATTGAGAGACTTTGCAGGTCCTCCCGCACCACTTAGCGGGAGGAGAACCGTGCTCTCTGAGCCAGGGTGTTGGTACCATCACATAAATGCTTCAGGTTGCCTTAATCCTCCCCCTGGCATTTCTAAAGACTGGGCGAGTAACAGCGTTGCAGAGACTGTGTTCCTAGCAGTAGCATTTGAGTACTAAGCATGTCATCTTTCTGTTTAGGCAGTCTCTAACGTGACAGTTTCATTTCTTTCCTCTGCATGGCATGGCTTCTTTTTGTGGCTTCATATTGGAAGAGGTTTTGTTATAAGGGGAATGAAATAAGAGATTTTTTTAGATAACAAACCCTTGAAACAAAAGGAGAGGTTTTTCTTTCATCAGTAGGGAGTGAAATTGTACGATGTGGCAAACATAATTGATGTCTGATCTGCCCTTTAGCAGGGAACACAGAAAGTTTATGAAAAGTTTAGATGGTACGTTTCATTATGACCTAGTTTCTGAAGCGCACTAGGCTACCTTCTTTATAGTGAAGGACAAAGAGGTGCACAAAAGGAGCTTTCCCCTCCATTATGACCCAGAGAGGAACCCTGGGACTCCGAATTACCTGTATAAACCTCTGTGTGACACCATTGTGTACCTTCAAGAGGAAGAAGTCTGTGTAATTGAAATAAATTGAGCTTGGCTCAAACACAGGCATTTTCTTACTTGTAGTCCTCAAGAACATCAGGCAGAAGTCTATTTCAAAGGATTTTTATTTTCCTCATCAAAGCAGAATAAGTATGTCATTCTTCTTGAGTAGCTTTAGCTATGTTCCATTTAATGGCTAGTCTAGGGTAGCAGCTCTCAAGCCTTTGAGATTGGGTGCTCCACCTTGTCTTTAATGATATGAGCAGCATGAGGATAATTTGTCCTCTGCTGTTACTCTTGAACAATTTTCATTTTCTTTCTCCAGCCAGCAGTTTTCTTGCCTCCAAGAGCTGCTAATAGTATTATGACATTCTGTGCAATTCGCATGAGCCATTTAAGATTCCTTACAGTAATGATCAGAGTATGATTTGTAATTAACACTTTTATTTCAGTTTAGTTCAGGGGAAAGACAATTCCTAAAAAGGAAGGAAAAAAAACACCTAAATTTAAGATGTGTATAAAGGTGGCAGAGCATACTGTAGTTTTCTGTTTTGTAACCCAGATAGTCTGTCCCTTGGCAGTCGAATGAAAATAAAAAATGAATGTTTGTTTCTAACTCGGTTAGGTACAGAAAATATTACCTGCGTTCTCTTGGCGCGCATCTCTGAGTTTTTATTGCCGAGTTTATTGAAAGGGTAATGGACTCTGCATTTCAGAATACAAATGAAGTCTGTGAACTGCCATTCTGCAACATAAGTTTGCAGCCTTAATGCTTTGTTAGGGTACATATTCGTTCTCTGTCAGTTCTGTTATATTAAGTGCAAAATATCAAGGTAAATACATACATTTTTTTTTATCTTTAAGTTGAAATTTATCTTGGTTTTACACTGATTAATTTGAAATCTTGTTTATCCCTCACTTGAAAAAGACATATTGTAATTGTTGCTGTTATTCATTAAACCTAATAATTTTGATTTTCCCACTCTTACAGTTCAGTTTCACATCGCCCACTTATATGAAATCCAGGTAAGCTTTAAGCTCCTTTTTACAAAGTGTGGTTGAGTTTCTAACTATATGATGTAATCAGTCTGTGGAATTCATATTATCTATGCTTTTGTAAAGTTAGATTTAAGTCTTGAATCACTAAAGAAACTTTATTTGCTTTGGCTAAATTAAAAATATTCTGTATGTGGACTATCATGCTATAAAATGAAGTAGCTATTTCAATAAACTTACATATTTACTACTAATCTCCCAAGTTGAGTGCAAAGAAACCCTAATAATAATTTTTAGTAAAATACTTTTATGATATTATGGATATATATTTAAAAATATATATAGATATAAAAAATATTGTGGCATCTCAATTCCTGCGTATTCATATTGTTTCACACACATTTGAGTCTACTCAGTTGCTCACGTTCCTTTTAAATATATTTGACGTAAAGTTTTCAAATTTAACTGAACATGTGTGACAGAAACATTTGAGATCTGAGATCAACAGTACATAAAGCTGTGTTATTAATTCTATATCAAATGCTACCACCAAATTTTTTAGGTGAATCTTTGGGGAAACTACAGAATATCTACTGAGCTTCTGGAATATAAGCTAATGAAAACCAAGTAGCTACTGAAATAGCTATTGTATGTTTATGTTTTGACTGACAGGTCATATAATCTAGATTGTGTGCCCTTCTATAGTGTTTTTAGGTATTATGTGTCTGAGAAAGCAATGTGACATGAAAAAATATTGTAATTAAAATGGATGACAAACTACATTTTCAATCAGTTGAAAAGTAGCTTCTAAGTGTTGTTGTTTGATGGCATGGTGAAAAATGACTTTGGGTATTTAGATATGAATAAAAGATATGAATTTGATGAACAAGGTATTTTTATTTTTAATGCTCTTGGTGCAGAGCTACATGGCAAGACAGAAATCCCCCATCCCAAAACATCAGTAAGAAACTTCATGGACTGCTGTGGTTCTTACCTGGCCACCATCCAGATTTCATTCTGAGCACTGGAGCACATCTGACACATTTATGTAACAAAACATCCTCAACACCTTAGTTCGCTTGGTTTGCTAGGGTGGAACAGAAAGCTGAAAACTTCAGGTCGCCATGCCAGGCGCCTTATATGGTTGTGATACCAGTGCTACAAGGGCTTAAGCTGTGCTTTCTGACTGGCAGTCGTAGCCAGCAGGAATTTTATTTTAATGCAAGTCAGAGCAAAAAAAGTTTCAGTGCATTCTGCTGTTAGATTTGGTTTGTCTCACAGTTCTGGTTGGGAGGAGTATCTCTTTTTCTGAGATTTGAGAAGCTTAGAACCACACAAGGTCTTGACTTCATTCTGGATATCACCTCTGACACAACAAAGAGATGTTTTTGGAGTCAGCCTGGTTGCTTAGTTTCGTTTAAAGGACACTGTGCTACAGTTTTCTGAAGACCTCCATATATTTGAAAATTTTCTGCTCTCTAATATTTAATGAAAAAGTTAATTTATTCATTCATTATGTACCTTCACAGTGCTGGAGTTTAAATGATGGGTTGCCAGATCATGAACAAGAGAATAGCCCAGTGCTGATAAAAGTTAGCAGTGGATTTTCATGGTGTTTAATGCAGTTTTTGTTATTTTATCTATGGCAGTGCGAATCCCTCTAGCTATTTAGGATGATAGTTTCTATATTGTCTAAAGAGACAGTGGGCTGGGTTCCCCTTCCCATTTCAAAGACCATTCTTGATGCAGCCAAACATGAAAGACTTTGGATCTTTGGAATAAACATATCTAAATAAACATAAACGTAAACACTATGACAGTTTTCTTTAATATTTCAAAGCATATATGTAGGCAGATTTTTTTTTTTTTAAAGGGTAAACAATACAATGAAAACAAAAGTAAAAAATATTCTAGATCTGGAAAACATGCCCCTTTTTTGATAGGTCATTCTAGATCCTCTCAAGCATGTAAATATATTTTCAAAAATTGTGAATGTTAGGAATGCATATTTACCTATTCAACATCTGGATTGCTGCCTCTGCTGTCATGCTATACAGAGAACTTCTGTTCATTTGCTTATCCTTCATAGTCATAAACTACGAATTTTGTTCCCAATGCTAAGATAAAATTTTTTCCTGATTGTTTTTATTTTGCTGGACATGGATATTTTATTTATTTATATTATTTGTTTTCTTACCAGTTGTCTGCATTTCATGAACACCAATTAAAAATCTTTTCTACCAACTTCCCCTTGTTCCATTTGAAAGTATGTAATTGCTGCTTTAATTTTACTTCCTGACTAGAATATGGTTTTAAAACCAACAGGGTTGTCTTTTGTGATTGTGAGATCTCAAGAGCCTAATAACGTTTTAAACTTCTAATAGGTATTTATACTGTTTAGAGTCTTCCCAGTTGTCCCTTCTAAAATACCAGTAGTCAGTACTTGTGTACTCTTTGCATAAAGCAAACTTAACTAAGCCATAATGATTTACATTTAAGTGCCCACATTTATTTTCATGTGCTTTTATCTGTTTGCCAAAATTAAATCTAATGTTGAATTAACTGAAAGCATATTCTTTTTTGTTAATTATATAGAATTTCTAGAACATCAAAAAATTTTTTAAAAAATGCTATTACTAACAGACCTCAGCATTTATGTCTTCCAGACATTTTTTGGGAGAGGAGGAAGAGAAGAATTAAGCATTTAAAATACATTCACTGTTAAGCAATTATTGTTAGGGTGACTTGGAGATAACTGCTGACATTATTACAAAAAAAAATCCATTTATTGAGAAGTCTTAACCTTCAATATATACAAAACAGCTCATACTATTCTAGAAGTCAGTAAAGCCCACAGTCCTAACCTGGAAATGTGTTTATTATATCAATACCTGTTCATATGGGGAGTTAAGAATTGAATGTTTCCATGCTTTAAGCACACTTAGACTATATAGAAAGTAATAAGAAGGCATACCTTCATTCTCTAGGCATAATCCATGCATATGTTTTACTTCTACACACAGTGGGACTCCATAGTCCAGGACAACAAAAGTCTGTTGAAAAGGCAGGTCAAATGTAATGAAGGAAGGAAGGAAGGAAGAGGCAAAGTTATACCAGCCACCAATTACTGGTGATCTTAATTTCTGTTATGGATTTCTTGGGAGGAATTTGTGTAGGGTTTTTTTTCAGATGTAGACTCACGTTCAAGCATCAAAAAATGCGTATTAGTTTCAGTGTGAAAAGCGTAATGCATGTATGACCAAATTTGGTAATTTGCAAATCTCCCTCAATTAAGTAGTCATTTGTATTAAGTACTATATTTATGCAAGTTATTCACTTACATATGATAAGTCACTTATTAAAGCTTTCATATGCACTGTATGCAAAAGAAAAAACAATATAATTTTTTGTCAATGTGTTTGTGTGCTGTCAGTGCTGTGAAATCGTCGCTATTGGTGATCTGTTGTAAGCTTTATGATTAATCCATTTACTTTTTTCCTTTTGCAGAGAAAGTATCACTCTGCAAAGGAAGCTTATGAACAGCTTTTGCAGATCGAAAACCTTCCTGCACAAGTAAAAGCAACTGTCTTACAGCAGTTAGGTATGTAAAATTAACATATTTTTCTGTGTGTTTCTTTTTTGCATCTTCACCTTCAGCAGTGTTTTTTAAGGCTCCATTTCCAAAGTGAGTCGTAGACACTAAGCATGATACGTGAGATTTTTACCCAAAATAGAATGCATAACAGTAGATAAATAAGAGAGGAGGAAAAGATTTTAATTAAAAACTTAAAAAATAAAAATCTCTTAGACTTGCTACAGTATGCACATGACAGGTTTTGGGTCATGAGGGGGTGGTCTTCCAGAGGAGGAGTGCAGCAACTGAAATTCTGTATTCTCAGTTATGCCTCTGAGAACATCTCTTGAATAGCCAGGCTAATTGCAGTAAACCAAAGTACTCTTCTCTTGCAGAATAGAACATGGCAAATGAAAAATGAAACCTTTTGTTTCTCTTTACTTTATAGTATGTGATGAAAACCCATTTAAGTAAAAAGTTTATCGTCAGATTCCATAAAACAAAACACATAAAAAGAGAAAAAGTTTGAGTTGTGGGGTTTTTTTATCATCTCCCATATTTATAGAAAGACCTATATAAATCTTTTGTAGACCAAAATTTCTAATGGATGAGTAGAATTAATTACTTCAGTCCTATATGCCTTATAAAAGTACTTCCAGAATACTTTGTTAAAATTGTTCAACCCAGTGCAAAACTTCTTCATTCACTTTCTTCATGTTCTTCATCTAATTTATTATTCTAAATATTAATTTAGCCTGCTTATGCCCATATTTTTTTTTTTTTTCCCTGTTCACATTGTGGTCATTTAATTCAAATCAATAACTGGCACTAAGTTATGGCCACAGTGCTTTCTTCTACTGAACTGCAGGTTGTATATGGATTTGTTTAGCTTTTGAGTCTTCTGTGTGAAATCACAAATGAAACTGTTGGAGGAATTTGCTGCAGGACTCTAGATGCTGATCTTTTTGCTATCACATGACACTTGCTTATATTTCAGTATCCTCTTTGAATGTTTTTTTATCTTGGTATTATCCAACCTAATATAACTTGTCAGCATACAGCCAGAAAGGAGATACCTATGATCAGTGAAAGACAGGCTTTCCAAAAGAGCTGACCAACACTTTTTCAACTCAATGTATGTTGTCACAATAGAAGCAAAGGTGCATGGTTGTGTTTGTGAAGTCCTACCACAGGTCTCTGTGCTGGAAATAAGAGCAATGACTTTGAGAATCGCCTACTGTCTAAAACTGGGATTAATTCTCTTTACTCAATCAGTATAGGTCACCTGGTTTTGTAGTGTGGGTAGCTTCAATGTGGAGAAAGGATAGACTGGTCTTAACCAGAACATTCAAAGAGTAATACCATTTCTTTTGCTCTTTGCTGTCAGCAGTGGTATGTATCAGAGCACGGTGTTTATCACAGATTTAGTCTCTAGCAGCTGGTACTAAAAACACCTTCTCAGAAAGTATAGTAGAAAAAATAATAGAAAATACTTGCCATCTGCCAGAACGCTACAGGCAAAACTCAGTCAAAATATATTTGTATTTCTATGTTGAACTCATTTATTTATTTATTTTTTAACAGCAACAGAAAAATTATTTTGGCATGAAAATACCTTTTGTTTATTTTCCATAGCTAGTTAATATTTATTGAGACAGAATTGAATTTTAGGCAAGTTCAGATGTCTTGTGGGAGAATTATTCAAATTTTTGCTCTTTCTGCTAGTTTGCAAAGCAGATCACTGTGGAGGAGAACCCTGTGATTCGTAGATACTTGAATACCCATTTGAGCTTTTGAATGCTGACTAATTCCAGGTAGATGTAACAACAAGATCTGGACAGCTGGATAAGAGCAGTTTTTTTCCGCTTTTGTGCCATTCATTTATTTTCCAGACAAAATTCTTTTTGCTGCTTTGCCTAAAACTACATTACATTAATGAGACTCAAGATGAAATCTGTCCCAGTATTCTTGCTCCAGTTGTACTCAGCAGTTGCATTAAGGAGGAGCGCAAGGACAACATAAACATCTGCTTATAGGTTCCCAAAGCACTCTCTCAAGGATTTTTTGGCTAGGTGCGTTCTTAGGTTGTGTCCACTTAATTGGATAAGACATAATGAGGGGCCTAAATGGGGAATAGGCTCATCTCTTTAAAGGCTATGGTGGTGATGTTTACTGGGGAAAAACACGGTTGCCACGGGTTCAGCATGGGAGGGATAAATAGGTAGCGTGAGCTAGGCTAGCAAAGCCTCTTGCTGAGGCAACACAGAGATTTATTACAAGTTAGATTGCAAAGACCTGGAATACTGTAGAACATTTGTAAAGTATGGACAAAAACCATGGGTTTATTGTGTTGAAAATGCCACGAGTGAGAGAGGAGTCAATATGCTAGCTGAGAATTTGAGTTAGGTCTTGCAAATAAGAAGCTGCAGTATGGCACAGCTGACTAGGATTTTTCCATCGCCTCCTTTCTGCACGTTCTTCATTTTACGCATGAGGAGGAGAGACATCCGGTTTCCTTTACCTGTGCTGTTCTAGTAGAAAACTTCTGTTTGTTCTTCCTCACCCTCTCCTGCTTTCTGCCTGGCTTGCCTCCCTGCACAGGGAGGTAAAATGAGGAAGCAGCCTGTGTTTCAGCAGTGGGACTGGGCTGGCATTGCTGGCGCTCGCTTCTGCCCCCCAGAAATACATTCTTGCCTCTTACCGCTGGACCTCAGCATGAAGATACACCGTCTTTCAATTCAGCAAGGTTCTGCTGAAACAGAAAATAAACATCGCCACACAACATTTCCAGAGATTCAGGAAATTGTGTAATGTCTTTTTTAATTCATGTTTATAATCCCTGAACTATTACCTTTAAGCCAGGCTTTGCCTGGCAGTGCACCCAGTGAGTGCATTTATCCTTAATGTACAGTTCCGTGGGTGCATTCTGATAACAACCCTCACATAAGATTTTTTTTTTCCTTAAAGCATGAGTATTTTCTGTAAGTTTAAGAACTTAAGTGACTTGGAATTTAATCAAAATCATAGCTTGTTTATCAAGTCCATGAGATAAAATTGTACGTGTTATATATCTCTGCAAAAATTACTGGATTTTTGTTGGTTTGGGTTTTTTGGGGGTTCTTTGTGTTGTGGTTACTTTTTGTTGTGGGTTTTGTGTGGGTTGTGTTGGTTGGGTTTTGGTTTTTTTTTCTGATGGGTAGGTGTTTGACTTGATCTGTCTTCAGAGAAGATACTCGTTTTTTTTTTTTGTTTGTTTGTTTGTTTTTTTTAGCACTGTAATCACTTGCCTCCTAACCTGACATTTCTTGCAGTCCATCACATATTCAAACTTGTGCTTCTGACCAGTCTCCAAGTGATAGCTCTTAAAACACCTTAGGCAAATATCGCTCAGTAGTTATGATTTTCTTTTAGATTGCCTTTTTTTAAGCTTGGAAGTTTGCTTTCCATTTGCGTGAGTGTTGCTGGGACTGTTAACAAACAGTGAGCCTGTGAAATAAAAAAATAAGCTATATAGAACAAGTAGAATAAAATATTTAAGCTATAGTCTGTATAGAGGAAGTAAAGTAAGGCTGCAAGTACTCATAAGTCAGTTCTCAGCCTTGCCTACTTTGTCTAGCATTTCAGATGAGGTCACAAACATAATGTACAGATAATTGATGTGTGTGACAAGGAGGATGGTGGCATTTTTCACAATGAAAGGGGAAGGTGTATATCTTTGGAGGAGGAAAAAGTTAACACTTTCAGATTAACTTTTTGTAGTAGAGGACTGAACACTTCATAATTGTGCTGCTAACCTCATAGAAAGTTATTTGAACTACATAAAAATGCTTTAAAAGTACCTGAAAGTAATTAAAATTAAAAGTTTTAGATGTTTCATTCATAATATTATATGTAAATTCAATATTGTTTTATATTTCTGTTTCTAAAGGGGAGGTAATGCTATGAATATCCTGCTCTGCCAAGGTCTTAAATGGTCTTAGGGAATTTCACTTCTGCCATTTATGGATTCCCTTTGCAGGCTGGATGCATCACACCGTGGATCAACTTGGAGACAAAGCAACCAAGGAAAGCTATGCTATACAATATCTTCAGAAATCTCTAGAAGCAGATCCAAATTCTGGTCAATCCTGGTATTTCCTTGGAAGGTGAGAAATTACTTCATAGATACTGTAACTACATTTGTGATTTATTTTTTGAGGATACTCATTATTGTGAATATCTTACATTGCTTTTTTTCTTAATACTTTCAGAGGAAAAATGAAGGGAAAGGATGTATGTACCTTCTGAAGTCTAGTTTTCTGGAAAGTGTATAAAAAGACAAGGTTCTAATGTATTTGGAATGAATATAGATTAGAAGTTGAAATGAAGTATGTTACCCAAGTGGTCCTGCATTTTTTTGTAGTTATTCAGTCTACACATTTACAGTAATCTGAGTCTGTCATGCCTGGTCTTATCTGTTGTTCCTCCTACTACCACATCTTTTATTCTCTCTCTCTCGTTTTTTGGTGAATGCTCTGTAAATGTTGCTACTTTCCTTCATATCTTTTTCACAATTTTTTTTCTGTCTTTCTCAGAATCTGCCTTCTAATCTCAATCATTTTCTTCACTAAAATACAAATATTCTGCCAGGTATACATCCATTTATAAACAGCATATATTGCAATTGCATATTAGGCCAAGATAGGCCAGGTTGATCCATCCTAATATCTGTCTGTGTCGTATTAATTCTGTACTATCAGACAGTATTTTTTACTTGAAAATTAACTTGCTCCAAGTTGTAACTCAATTACTTTTCTTGGTTACTTTTTTAAGAGAATAGAGTACTTTACACAAAAAAACAGCAGTAAGTCTTGAAATAATCATGCTTTGGAGAAAAATGAGGGCAATTCAAGTTCATGAGTTTCTCCACAAAACTGACCTGTTCACATATGAGAAAGGAATGATAAAAAAAAATAAAAAAAAAAAAAAATCCTAATCTTAGTATCTTCTAGCTAACTCTTTTTTGGAGAGGTTTGGTTACATACAGCTGGAACCTAGTTTTGGTTTTGTCATCCTAATTGCAGGATGACAAAAGCTGTTCTGTGCAACAGGGCTCTTTGACCAGCTGTCTGCAGGCTGAGGGAGGAACGTTAACATGGAGTATGAAGGACAGAGGGCTAGAGCAAGTGTGGAGGGAAGAGGGAAAATAAGCTATGGATCGTCTGGCTCATCTTATCATCCATGGGGCTGAAAACCTGTTTTTTTCCTCAGTAGTCCTGTTCCACATATCTTGAGCTAGTTGAGTTCATGCAGAGCAGCAGGACAGAGTCAAGACTCCATGAAGTAGGTGTGTGCAGCTGCTGTGCTCCTGTTCCTACTGCACCATGGCTTTTGTGGGGTTAGAGTGAAACCCATGGTCATACAAATAAGAGGGAGAAGTGCAGAAAATGAGGGGGGAAAAATGTAGTGAAAGCATTTCCTATACTCTATAGGGGAAAAATATTTCCAGGTCCCATTCCTCCAGTCCATATGCTGGCAGGAGAAGAGCAAAGGGGACAGGGTTACAGTGTTGTAGATATCTTTCTTCCTCTTTTTCCCTCATATACATCTTTGTGCCATTCCTTTCTCTGCTGCTTATCCAAACTGGTTTAAAGCTGCCTTTCAAAAATATAGCACCATTACCCTCCTCTCCCACTGAAAAAACATCTGTCACCCTGTTCTAAGTTTTGTTGGGTGCTCAATGTTAGTGCTAGCCTAATCAGTCTTTGTGTATCTCATAGAATGAAACGTGTGTGTTTCATGTTCTGGGGTTAGGCTGTGATTAGAATTCTCTTCCGAAACATTGCATTCAGACTTAATGGATGGTTTTAGGCAAAGTATTGCTAGATTTTATTGTATTCCTTTCCTACCATGCCTCAAGAATACATAAAAGAGTGTAGCATGTTTGCAGACCTTTGCCTTTACTGTTCTGCTTGGCTTTTATTTTATCTTTATTTTTACTAGAATAAGTTTTCTGTTGTTGTTTATGTGATTTGGAAGTTGTCAGTTTTTTCCAACAGAGAAGCTTATTACAAATCATATAAGAAGCAGAGCTGTTATAGATTAAACTAGTAAATGTACATATTATTAATATTGTATTTATTTGAAGCTTTTAATTTTCTACAGGTAGGTAGTGTTCCCTGTGGTATAATAGTAGTTCTCTTTATAGAGTTCTGATATTTCTGCTTATAAGACCAGAGTACCTTTGAATTTCTGTGTGAAAAATACTCAAGTAAGAAATAATGAAAAAATCCAGAAAAGCAAGGGCTTGTGTTTTTTGTTTGTTTGTTTGTTTGGGGTTGGTTTTGTGGTGTGTTTTTTTTATTATTTTTTTTCTTTTGGGGGGGGGGGGGTTTACAAAATTTCCTTCTTTACATATGCAGTAAAACTAACTGGTTTGTGGTTCATTACTTGAAATCTTACTGAAATGAGAAATGCACGTAAAAAGCTTTCCAGGCAATCAGTAACCATCCTGATTTGAGTTGTTTAATATCTCTTAATAATTCTGAAACACTTCTTGCAGAGCATATCTGCAAGTTTCATAACCATTTGTTGAAGTAGGTAGTGTAATTGTTTCTTTATAACACTGTAAATAAGTATTGTTCTTCTTGACTGATAACTTATCAGAAATTAAAGCAATGTAAGTCTTTAAAATATGGTGTCATTCTGTTTTCCTTATAAATACTGTAAGCTAGAGTTTAAGCAGTTTTGGTATCATTTTCAAGTAAATAATTGGTAATTATGTTGATGGAGATGTTTGAGTCTTCTTATGCCTGGCATTCAGAAACAGCAAGTGTTTTGGATTCATCTAGATGAGTATGCATTTGCATGACTTAACATTGATCATGTCAGGCTTGGTGAGCCATCCTCAATGGTTAGCTTCTATAAATATTACCAAAGTTCTTTTTTTCTTCTCCCAGGTGCTATTCAAGTATTGGGAAAGTTCAGGATGCCTTTATATCTTATAGGCAATCTATTGATAAATCAGAAGCAAGTGCAGATACATGGTGTTCTATAGGGTAAGAATAATACAGGGTAATACAGTGATATGTTTCAATAGTAATGTATATGATTAAGAGCTAGAAAGCTGATAAGCTTTTCATGCTCTCTTGGAGACTGTATATCTTCTTTGCTCGTACCTTTGTGTTGTCAGACGGGTCTGATTTGAAGTTTAAATAATAAATTTATATTTGTGTTCTCATTTTTTAAAAATATTGAATACGTTATGCATATGAGCTTTGCATGTTAAAATGTGTTGTTTATGCTTTTTACTGTGGGTTGTGTAATTACAGAGATTATTAAGGGTTTTGAGGGGGATGGGTATTTTTGACTTGTATTTTGACTTTGTTATTAATTCTCGACTTCACTAATCTTCCTATTCAGTGTGCTGTATCAACAGCAAAATCAGCCTATGGATGCTTTACAGGCCTATATCTGTGCTGTACAATTGGACCATGGCCATGCTGCAGCCTGGATGGACCTAGGCACACTCTATGAGTCCTGCAACCAGCCTCAGGATGCCATTAAATGCTACTTAAATGCAACTAGGAGCAAAAATTGTAGTAATACCTCTGCACTTGCAGCACGGATAAAGTATTTACAGGTAAAACGAACGTGTTAAGAAGTGGGAAATACTCTTCCAAATACACAGCAGAGGGGAGGGGAGAAGTAACAAATAAGTTTAACTTGGAATTGTTTGTGGTGTGTATAACCTGTTTTCATGTGTACTGTAAGCATATCATAGCCTGTAATATTTTCTTTCTTCATTTTTAAGTGGAACTTAATTCCTTATAAACCCTATTTCGCACATTTAATCAAAGCATACTGTTTTACATCACTTTGCTTTTTTCTTTGTATTGTCTACAATTTTAAGTTCTCATAACGTATAGAGAGAATATACACGCAGACTATCTTTCACTCTTGTTTGCAATTTCAGAAAAAAGGACTTATGAGACCTCTGAATCCAGAGCTCATCTTTGTTCTGATTCTCACAAAGGTTTATATTCTGGTTACCCTCTTTATACTTAGCACCTTTCTAAAATCCCAAATTTTAAATCTATCCTCTCTTTAAGACATAATTAGCTACAGCATTTAGGAAGATTTCATGGACTTGCTCTTACTAAAGTAGGCTTGTGTTAAATTTGCTTTTTACATAATTTTTCCTAGGCTCAGTTGTGTAACCTTCCACAAGGTAGTCTACAGAATAAAACTAAATTACTTCCTAGTATTGAGGAGGCGTGGAGCCTACCAATCCCCGCAGAGCTTACCTCCAGGCAGGGTGCCATGAACACAGCACAGCAGGTGAGAAGTTGGGTTATGTTCTGCAGGTGCCCAGCTTTAAGGGTTCTTTACAATCGGTAGTGGTCAAGCTTATTTGATTGAGCACAGGACTGGCTTTTGTTAATAAAAAGCCCTTGATTTGTTTGCAAAGGGATGTTAGATCAAGATGCTCCCTGTAATATGGGAGAGATATGGGGGTACCAATTTAGAACCTTTGTGGATATTCATGATTTTAAAAGATTTCATCTTAAATAGCAATGCTGCAGTGGTTTAATAATCCCGTGAAAGGTACACATTCCTCCATTGATGACCATATGGAAACTGATTTTTCAGTTATTGAGATCAGCTTCAGAATACCTACCCGGCCCTTTTAATATATGTGGGCTGTTAAAATATATAGTTGAAAAGAAAGAATTAAGAATATATAGAACCATATTTTTGTCTTCCTTCTGTGATTCTTAGGCTTGTAAACCTCATCATCCAAATACTGAACCTGTACTAGGCCTCACTCAAACACCAATTTCACAGCAATCCTTGCCACTACACATGATTCCTTCTAGCCAAGTAGATGACCTGACCAGTCCTGCCAAGAGGAAAAGAACATCTAGTCCAACAAAGGTATATATTCTGATGAACTAAAGAGCCACCTACCAAAATTGTATGGAAATATGCATTAAAATGATACAGCATGCACAGAATTTGTGCTGTAAATTTTAATCCTTTGGCATCAAGGTGGGGAATGTTTTTAGGAATAAAAAAAAAAAAAGAAAAAAAAAAAACACCAAACCATTTTCAGTGTGTTTAATCAGGCTGCAGTTCAGACAGGAAGTGCATAAGGGCAGTGCAGGTCGATGGCACTATACTACAGTCATAGTTGTTTAAGCAACAAAGAACAGTCACTGTTTTATGATAGACAGGGAGACGTTCATGTCATCCTGTCTATTACCTTTGCTCAGATTTAGAATTCAAGTGTTTCATCACCGTCTAATAGTGTTACAGTAGATAAAGTATTCAGTTTTAAAAGTGGTGTGCATTTAAGTTAATTATGTAATTTGATTTGATTGTTTCTCATTATAATATTAGATACCATTTAATTTTTCCAAAGAGTACTCAGATACTGTATGGGAATTAGTAGAATAAGCATTGGCATGTTTTAGTATGTTCTTGGTTTATATTGTTATTCTCAAAATAATGGGTAGTTCTTTCATAAGATAAAATCTAGGTAGCAAAAGAAATTATGTTGACCCTTTGATAGTCACACTTTTTAATGTAATGTTTTCTCTCAGAATACTTCAGAAGTTTGGAGCAGTGGCCATACAGTGTCACATCCTCCTGTACAGCAACAAATTCATTCTTGGTGCTTGACACCACAGAAATTACAGGTAGGTGGTTGAAAATGTCCAGAAGATTTTATATGTTTTTTGTTTGTTTGTTTCTTTAATTTTCTTGAAACAAGGAAAGAATCTTTTTTCAGTTTCACATTTCTGAAATTCAATGTGAAATAATTCCTAAATAATTCCCACAGTGTAATTCAAGTTGTGCTAATATTTGTCTCTTCTCTGTGTGAGATCAATTCTATAGTAAAATAATCTCTAGCAGAAACTGAACTCTTATATTGTATGAATTTTATAATCTATAAAGTAAGAGCATACAGTAACAATTTTTTTCTTATGATGTTTTAAAGATAGATATGCAAATTGTTACACTTGTATGCCAGGTGAGGTTTGCTACTTGCTGTAACGTGGGGGATATTGAATGAGGTGTAGAAGTATTTTAATTCCTCCGAGGTAACTTCTTGGATCAGACTGTCTAAACAAACGCATTCTACAAAATGCAGTTGTTCAATTGAAATCTGATACTGCTTTCCTATGTTTTCTGTCAACATTTTTATATGAAATGCTAGATTTTATTTTTGAAATCTTGTTTCAGGTCTTTTTTGTTATGATGTTTTGTTGTCTCTTCAGTTCGTTAGGACTTGCAGTGAGCTTCAGCAGG